GTTCAGGTGTGCAAGTTGAGGATTTTTAGCACAGTCTAGAAACAAGGTCATTCAAATTCCATGTGAGTTGTGGCAAAGGGACTGAAAACGGTAGTTTTGATCAGTTTTGTTTAGGTAAGATTCATTGCTTCTTTAAAAGCAGTACTTGAAATTAATGGTGCAGGATGTCCTCTTCAGTGCTAGTACACTCAGTCTCATTTGGATTGCTTGAGTGAGGAAACTGAATGTACTACGTGCTGCAGCTGGGACTGGGCCATCTCTTCCCTTATGGCTCTGTTTGTGCACAAGTACCATCCCTGCCTCTCTCAGAGGTAGCTGGAAGCAGTGGCACCTTCATTTGCTGCAGTTGGTTTTGTTGTAGCTCATCTGTCAGAATCCTAACTCAAGGATCAGCAGAAAATTGGTTAATAATACAGCACATGAATGGAAACTGTTTGTATAATATCAGATACTTGAAGCACTCAGCTACAAGATAATGTGATCCATCTACTTAAACAGAATTGCATTTTAAAACTCTAATTAAATCTTTTGGCTTTAGATGCTCTGTGGTAAGGGTTATACCTCTCATCAGCATGAAAATGGGTCAGGCAGTTCAGTAGTAGTAGTAGTAGTTCAGGAATATATTAGAGGGAATGGCATAGGGAATTCGAATTTGGTTTGAGATCTGCTTCCTCTCCAAGTAAAGACTGAAGTGGAGAACAGCTCTGGAAAAGATGGAGGAAGAGTAACTAGAATAGAGCACAAGAGAGAAGAAAGGCACTTGAACACTGCAGAATTGTTTCTCAAAATAGATTCTAAACCAGTTATTTTTTTCGATAATGCTTCAGGTTCTCTCTACTTTCGAAGGTTTCTCTTCTTACTAGTTCTGTATCTAGTGTTTGACTGTTGGAATTCTGTTTCTATTGATATCTTGCCTTTTTTCTTTGCTTTCTTAGTCTGGAGTATGCGAGTAAAAGTCTCTGCAAATACCTTTCCACCTCTCCAACCCTGAAGCTACAGAGACAGGTTACCCTTAATACCCAGTTGGGTATTGAGCACCAAAACTGAGATGTTCCAAGTCTCTCATTTCTGTCTTTGTATGTTCCTTCTGAAAAAATAGTCTCCATCTACATCTCTCTCCCTTGCTTACACTGTGGTACCACTTCCTTGTTCTGTGTCTGTGTTACTTTTAACTGCATGATTGGAGAAGTCTAAGGTTGGAAATTCTTTCATCTGTTCTTGCAATTTGCTGAAAGCATTTGCTGAATGCATAAATTCTGTCACACACTTTCCAATGAGTGGATTTAAGAACAGAATCACTTCTTATGTAGATGTGCTTGCTTGACTTTTTAAAACGAAATGCAGATGCGCTATGTAATTTCTAAGACCTTTAGCCTTGTTTGTTTTGTCTGCACAGAAAAACATAAACATCATTTGATAGGGTGAAAATATCAAAAATAATAAAAATATTGATGAAAACTCCAGTCATTCAGTCAATCTTGTATATTCTCAAGCCTAAATAGCATGTGAACTTTTAGTGATTTTATTCACAAATTTTTGTCGCTCTTGCATTTTCTGACGACTGAATATTTTTATTTAAAAAATGAATGTTTTAGGCTATTGGTTGTAACATTTGTGTGTGTGTGTGTATAAATTGTGTTAGATATACTGTGAAACTCTAGTGCTGTTTCTTTTAAAGCCTTGTAAACTTAATTTACCACTTGAAAACTGCAGTGGAAAAAAAGAGTACTGACTAAATCTGCTTACCAGACGTAAGATGATTAATGTTTCCCACAAGTCTTTCCTAGCAAATGTTTGCAACTATTCATGAATAAGGCAACAAGCTCTGCTTATTTGATTAAAATGATGGATAATGCTAAGTGTGAGTTACCTCCAGTTCTACTGTGTGAAACTTCATGTGACAAAGTAACTGTTCATGTTGTAGGAAGACAAAAAATGGTTACAATGATAAAATAGCAAAACTTCTTTTTTTTGTCTCTCACTACAGTTCGCAAGAGAAGGGTTGAAGGAGACAACTAGCAATATTGTTGTCAAGACTGTGTGGAGTCATCACGGTCATCACCGTGGGCTTGGGCAATCTTGGACTACACTGACCTGGGTTAGAAGGGAAAAGACTGGAAACCCCATTCCTTTTAAAGCAAAGCTATATAATCTGCTGGTGTGCATCATGTTTTCCATGGAGACACAGTAACTGCACCAGTCTCTGTACTATAGGTTTTGATTGGGTTTTTTTTTTAAGAACTGTTTTGTATCTCAAGATTTTGGCTGTGCTTTCTACTAAATATGTAATGGCAAGTCAATGGCATATTTGTTTGTAGTCAAAGAATGGGACTTTTAACATCATTGGGCAGATAATGACCCAATTGAAATGTTTGTTAGAAAATCTGGGGGTGCTTATTTACATGGAGGGATGTGTATATTCCTGAAAACAATGCGTTAGTGATAAGGGATTCTTCACCCAACAGCTGGGCTCGCTGTGTAGAGCTGTTCAGCTTCATTCATATGCACTGAAGAGAAATCTTTCACAGCAATGTTACTTGTAATCCTACTGTGTTACTTTTGATTGGTTCCTGATACTGTGATCAAGTTTTAAGAGATCCCTTTAAGCCAAAGAAAAATACATTGGCTAAGGACTTCTCCCAAGAGGTTTGAGGGACTAATGCTAAAGTGGAAGCCTTATTTAAAAAAAACATTAAAAAAATTAAAAATTAGGCGCCTTGCAAAATGACAGTTTTTATATTACACATGCAAGTCTTTGTCAAAAGATCCCAAAACTGTGTCTTGCTCTGTATCTAAACTGGATATGTTTTTAGGCTGATTTCATATGTTCATCAGCATTATTTAGTTTATATTCTTTGTTTAAAAATCTATCTACATTCATAAGTATCAATTCTCTAGAAGTAGTGGACATGCATATTGAGTTCTGCATAGCTGTACAGGAAAAGCAGCCTTAACTGTAAAACCACTGACCTAAGTTGCTGGCAAACAAAAAAATCCTTTATTTCAAGCTGTTGCTTTGAGCTATTTGTACTTCATACAAATCTATCAGGTTTTAATAAGGAAGTAACACTTTTAACAAAGGATTTTTCTATTCTACTTATGTCTCGATGTGGAAACATTAAGACATGTAAAAATTATCCAGTATGTAGTGTTGAAATCTGTATGGTATAGTAATTATTAAAGTATTTAAAGTTCTGTAAGCAAACTAATAAGGTAACAAGAATCACTTCAACTTCTGTACTAAATCACAGTATGTTGCTTTGAAATACCAAGAAAATCCAGGCACTTTTTGGTGTAGGTCTGTTTGGACTGTCCTGTACTAGTTTCTAAAGGACTGTTGGCTACTTTTATAGCAACAGAGAATTCAACTGACAACTGTTTTCATCCAAGGATCATGAGGTGAGGATTTATGTACAGAAAACGTTGGACTGAGCTTTTGATATCAGGTTTTATATACTATAAAAACTCAACAGAGCAAGTCTCTGACACTGTGCCCACCTTGTAATTTACTGCAAATCTTCTTTTGGAGCTTTAAAGACAGACTTTGTTCTGGAGGTGTCTTTGAATGATACTGCGACTGTACAGAGAATTTTAAACTGTAGTGCCTTTCAATGAGGATGTGTATAACTGGTTTATACTTGTGCAAGAACATTTTTTCCTATTTCAAAACCAGCCTTTTATTAGAATTACAGATAAATGCGTGCTCTGAAAAACAAGTTGGAATTAATTCTGTTAAAACCAAAGACAATATTTACTATAATAATGTCAGAACAACTAAAGTGATCTGATGAATAACAAAAAGGGCTTCTTTTTTTTTGTTTTGGCTTTTGTAAATTTTTGAGAACTTTTTAGATTTTGAAATTTAAGTTCTTATTTAGTATGCATAAAGTCACAAGTGTCTTTTTTACGGACTGTGCTGTGTAAACACAGCCAAAGCATGTCATGTGCTGAGTTGCCTAAAGCTGTACTTTACTTTTTATTTGCTAGGCACCATAATAATTTGGTGTCAATAAACAGGCTGTAATGTCTTCCTTCATTTGTTGAAGGGCTGCATGTTCACAGACTCTCTTCATGTGTTGTCTATGACTTATTTCAGCATTATCTAACAAGGTTAGGCTCTTCTTGAAGATGAAGGAGAAAATTGAAAGGCTGGATTATGGAAATGATAGCCCAAATCCCTTCCTTGCAATAAATCAAGTTTAGCTGTCCAATGATTTCTGTTCCAATCAAAGGCAGAGGGTTTGAAACTGCCACTCTCAGGTGTCCTGTCACAGATAATAGTAGAGGACCTTAATAACTGGTTTAGCTCTATAGACAGCAGCCAAAAATTTGGCTGCTTGTTAACTTTCAGGACAGATATCTAACAGGTTGAGCATAGAAAATTATTTTCTTTCCAAGCCAGAAAGGTTTGGCTTATCCAGAATGTTGCAAGACCTTTGGCATGGTGCACAGAACAGTTAACAGCAATCACTTTTGTGCCTGCAGTGTGTGTCCATTTTGGAACAAATGAAGGAATTCAGTCTGTAGCCAGGAATTATGAACAAAGTGAACACCCTGATGTAATGGTGAGATCCTGTGTATGACTTCATTGCTTTTGAGTGCAAGAGTGGCATTACTTTGATAACCAGTTACCAAAAACACAAGGTCTTTTTTTCTGACAGAGTTGCTACTTTTTTTCTTATTGATTATTTTGCAGGCTTAACACAGAAATCAAATGACCATGGGGGTTGATTCTGTTGGTTCCAAACTAAGCATAGCCTATATTTCAAAGCAATAATCTATTTACTGTTGTATTTTAAAGAAATAGCCTCATTGTCTCTACAGCTTGAGCTATTCTGTGTTTGTGAGCTACAAACGAGCAAGGATTCAATTTGAATTTCCATTGAGGAAACATACATTGAGTGTTTTTAGCATATCACCACTACATGCTGTCAGATTGTAAACCAGTAAAAGTTTTGGATGATTAAAGTACTGTATTCTTGTTGTGGTTTTGGGGTTTTTGTTTATTTGCTTTCCTAAATAATCCACTGACTTGCTGAAAGTCAGACTCTATGATCCTCATGGGTCCCTTCCAACTCTGAATATTCTGGGCTCTTGACCCATGTGTTTGTGTCAAACCAGAGGAACCTGGAT